CCACCCTTTTTCCCCGTTTATAAATGTAACATATACATATATCCTAAATAAAAATAGGGCGAACGATCCTAGGGCGAGCGTGTAATCAGGGCGAACGGACCTAGGGCGAGCATGTTGCGAACAGACCCGACCCCCCCCCCCTTTTCTGGGACAATTTTTGTTGTAATATGCTGTACATCTCCAGTTCTGACTAGACTAGCAGGGTCGGATACATTTTTTTTTTAAAAGAGGAACCTTACCCAGGATAAAGGGTGAGTTCCAACTAAATATCCCCATTCAAATGCATTGATCGTCACATGTCAATAAAAAAGGGGGTTTCAACCTCCGGAATCCCCTGTCCCCCTGGATTCGCCACTGACTAGAGTCTTAATGTGTACAAACCTGACGTCAAATTATGTACTATAGAAGAAACAAATAATATCACATTACATCCAAAAATCAATTACTGTTACTTCACATTACATTAATCTCCAAATTCATATTATATTACGATGTCAATGGAAGAAGTTCCCGCGCAAATGTCATGTGTTAAACGGGATACACTAAAAAAGAATTTTAGGTGTATGTTAGCATTCGCATTCCGATCAATTTACACAGTTCAATAAAATATATATGTTAGATTTATTTATATTGGATTTGAATTTAGATACTTTATCAGAGAAATTATTTGTTTCTCGCAGACAACGCTAAATAATATACATGAACTCGACATTGAATCTGAACACCCCTAAAACAAAATGGTATATGCAATCGACCAAACAGATTTTCCTAATATTGATAAAGGTGAAATACGTAGAATAAGAATTGTGCACACTGAAATAAGATCAGAGATAAAGCCCTATGTAAAGTGAAAACCAAATAAAAAACATATATAAAACCATTGTTTATTAAATTTTCTTGCATAATAACCTTGAAGTTGAAACTAAAAACTATTACGTGTATCCTGTCAACCCCTGAAAAAAATAATACTGTCTCCGCGCGCCACGGACTTGTAAAATTATATATTGTGATAGTGTATGTTAATTATCTGACGTATTGCAGATTGTTTTTAAAAGTTCGTTCTTGTGAAGTTTTGTTACCGCATTTTCTGCAACTTATGATTAATTGTCCAGTATTAAATTATGTTTTCTTATATTATTATAATTATTCAAAATTTATATTTCATTTGTTTCGTTAAAGCTCCAGACAACCTTTTATTTTTTTCGTCATGACGATCACCAAAATTTCATTAAAAATAGCTTCACGATTAAGTACATGCGTTGAAAAAAAACACCTTCTTATATGATCAGACAAAGGTAAACAATTATATGCTAAACTATCATACATGCGTAGAAAGGCTTTATGCCAGCTAAAAAAATCCAGGTCCATCATGGGCCACTGGTATTGAAGCTCCAGTGTGTAAAGATGCGATGACGTCAAAAGTATTCATTGTATTGATTACGCCTAAAACACCACCGAACACATTGTTTAAAGAACCTAACACATTTCACACTATTCAAAGCACCGAACACATTTTCCAAAGCACCGACATTTTTTTTCAAAGCACCGAACACATTTTCCAAAGCACCGACATTTTTTTTCAAAGCACCGAACACATTTTTCAAAGCTCCTAACATATTTTTCAAAGCTCCTAACATATTTGTATAAGCACCGAACACATTTTTCAAAGCACCGAACATATTTTCATAGCACCAAACACATTTTTCAAAGCTCCGAACACATGTAACAAAAACAAAATTAATACATTAATGAAATAGCATCAACTATGGTGTTTTGTTTATCTAATGAAATTAGAAATAATAAAAAAATAAAATATGTAGTGTGGCACGCGTATTGTTATGTGATGGTACAATAGTTGTTAGTGTGAACATTAAACCAGAATAAAGTAGAACCCCAATGGCAAATGTCATATATTAAAAACAATCGTAACTGCTCGGCCATTCTCGCTATGCAGTACAATAACGTTATTTCTTCGTGCAACCAGAAAGGCCGAGAAGTTCCAATTGATATTAAAAACTTATATTTGTATTATACGCTTTATCTTACACAATCATATTTAAACAAATAAATTAAAATCTTGTTTTTTTAACCTCATATGAACATTTCAAATTTTCTTTCATCGTCGTCCTGAACGGCATGAAATACTTGCGGCTTGACGTAAAACAGACAACAATCAATCCTTCATCGTTAAGATGTACAGTAGCTCTCTTTTTCTTGGTCTTTTGATTTGACATGGCGTTTTGGATAATTTCTTGGTTTTGTGGGCCAGAGAGTTAGTCCCGATTAATTGTTATCATTGTGACTGGTTTACGTTTTGGACGGTTGTCTTTCTAAAATGAGTTAAAAAGGGTTTTTTTTCTCTTCCGTTTTATACTTTTTCAGATATGAGATATCAATTCTAATATGTTGCTAATATACAGTCTTCTGCACGTATTTTCAAGAACCGATTAAACGCATAGTCGAAAAAATTATTAACAAGATCTAGAGAAACTGCGGTTTCCAGTTGTTTATACTTTCAGCGTTGATGTTTTTCCGAAACTTCTCTGATATTTCGATAATAATTAAATGTATTCATCGGATTTGTTTATATTGGTTTGAATGTGAGAAGTGTGACATTAAAAGCGTACGGTGGCATATTGAAATGTGTTCGATGGAAATTTTTGGTGTTCGGGTGTTCTTTTTTTCGGTATTATTTAATACTAAATGCATGCATAATTCAAATCGATTGGCGTTAAATAAAATTTGTTCGGTGTTAGTTTTGGGTGTTCGATGGTAATTTGGGTGTTCGGTGGTAATCTTTATATCATTGACCCCCAATCTTCTATATCACGGATATTAAAGTCTTTTTGATATATTTATAAAATGTATTTTTGAACATGTGAATAATATCATTGAAAGCGTTCGGTGGTATTGTTTAGGCGTTTGGTGATGTTCGGTTGTAAAAAGATGCATCTGCTGGGTCTCTATTAAGTTTACAACGGTGCTGGATTTAGCGACTGAAGTACACTTTAATCACTATAATGTTTCTACATTCAACTCTTAATTGCAAGGTAACCATCACCTTACATAATGTATATATCAAATGTAGAAACACAGTATTTAAGTTTTGCACAATGTGTGTTAAACGATAGAAGCCTTTCTTTACAGGACTAGATATTTTGACTGCAAATATCATGGATGATAGCTCTGATCATACATGTAAGCTTAGGACGGTATAATTGCATAACGTGTATATTGTATGGAAGCATAACAAATTTCATTCCCAAAACAATGAGTATACGTGATTCTTGAATTAAAGAATAAAGCATATATCTAACACTGGGTTGGTACTGCTTGTAGTAGATGGTCATTCCCAAAGGATACTATCCGTCAAGGACTTAGTACTTTCCTGCTGATACGAATTAGATGGAAAATTTTATTGCAAATTTTAAGTGTATGAATATATAAATTTTTCAACTGTACAAAAGGACGGTTGCATCTCTCTCTCTCTCTCTCTCTCTCTCTCTCTCTCTCTCTCTCTCTCTCTCGCTGTGGCAAGGTAGAAAATGGACGAGTGCAGTTGTTCTGTTAATATCCTTTTCTATTTTGATGTTCTCGTTTGTTTCTTACACTTTTGGTCTAGACCATACCTCAGGAAGTGTATTCCAAGAAGCAGTTGTCGTGGGAACGAAAATTCGTATAATGAGTTTTGATCACTTTAGTTTTAATGATAAGTTTAGAGAGAAAAAAATTATTAAAAAACACTTAATCATATAGTCTTTTGAAATCGTCAAAAAAGAAAAATCTTCAAAATGAGGCGCGGAAGCTACCATGGGGATATTCCGAACTAGTAAGCTGAATCATAGTTACAACGCCTAGACACAAAAAAACGAATGACGACGAAAAGACAAAGAAGTTAACAAAACACTACATAGAAAACTAAAGACTGAGCAACATCCCCCACCACCAATTAAACTGGGTGTTGTGTCAGTTGCTCCGGAAGGGTAAGCAGATCCACTAGTGGCACAAGATGCATTGAAACAAAATCGTTATGAATCAAATGCTTTTGATTATCACTTATATGTAGTTTTACAGAAAAATGATAAAAATACAATTTAATGTGTAGGTAAAAATATCGTTTTTGAAGGCATTTCGAAAGGAAAGTCGTAAAACAAAAATCTATGAGTCGGAAAGAAACAATATTTTTATATATAAACACAAAGTAAGAAATCTAATTCACGGACAAATTACTGATTATTTAAAGGGTAAACATGTTCTTTCTAATAGTTTGAAATAATATATGTTTAAGAGTACCTTGTAAAATCTTTGGGTTTGATTCGACATTTATGTAATTTTAACTTTTTTGGTTTTACTGTTTGGGATTTGTAACATATGACATCTTAAAAAAATTGAATTTTATTAATATATAATGCGTCCGAAACGCCTTTCTGGATTAACCTTCACCAGAAACGCTCAAAGCCGAATATTTGAAGGACAAGGATGCATAAGAACCGAAACAGTTAGATATAATTGACAAAAAAGACCTTTAAATAGCCAAATCCATCTAAGGCCAACTTTGCATGAGGGAGTTTCTTAATAATTTATAAATTTATATTTTTCACTCACAAAGAAGTTTCATCCCGCCGCATTGGGATACGTGCATATCCCAATTCAGGAGCCTATATTCCGGTGGTTGTCATCAGCTTCTGCCGTAATTGTTTTTATCATTTTTGTTGAATTATAATTGCATGTAGGACCGTTTTTTCTCTAATAAACGTTTTGTTGTCACCCCAGGACAATTGAAAGTTAACCATACGGTATGAGTTTTGTTCATTGTTGAAGGCTGTAAGGTGACCTGTAACTATTTCCGTCTTTGTCATTTTGGCTTTAATGGCTAGTTTTCACGCTGGCGACCATATCGCATCTTATAACTATACCGACATTTACGACATTTCAAAAAAAGAAGAAATATTTGGTGTTGTTAAATAACAGACGTATTATTAATCATTGGTATACTGGTATTTCCTTATCATTATAATTATTATATCATTTATTCAGTTATTTACTTATATATTAAGACATAAATCTCATGGAAATGCCTCTCGTTCGTCTGTCTCTCATTCCCACTGGTCCAAACATTCGCCCGCGAATTGGTAATGCACCAAAGCGGTTAATGATTCTCTCAACACGAACAGGACTATCGGGCTCCATTATTTCAGCAGTTTCAATACCACCATTTCTGCGCACTGGTACTCGGTTTACGGCCATTCTTTGTTGTCCTTGTCTTGTCCTTGAGACGCAAATATTTTGTCTGGTATCACAATATAGGTCATCACTTCTAGCACAAGAAGGGCATGACGGAGTAGAGGTGTAGCTAACTAGTTGATCTATATTTTCCCCATACCCATCTTCATGTGTTACAGATTCTATGCCAGGAAAAGTGTTATAAAATACCATTCGGTCTCTAGGTGCATGTCCTGTTATCTGTTTGTCGGGATAAGCTGCATTTCCTTCTTGTAGCATTCTCCTTCTAAATAATCCAAATACTTTATCAACAAAAGCATGAAAAGGATAAAATACAGGATCAAAGGCAGCTGTGGCAGTTGGCTCAGAAGTGCCACCTATCCAGACATGCGTCCCATCGTGTAAACATTCCATACTGTAAGCATTACGATTTCCATTGTAACAAGGTGATGGTTCGGTGAATTCGTAATAACTGGGTTTAGAAAGCGCCATTTGTATATCTTGTCTAGACATTAACCATCCGTCGTTATTTATGTTTCTTATCGCTTGTATTTGTCCAGGTAAGTTGGCAAAAGGTCCGGTGGTAATCGCACCATAACCATTACCAAAATATTTTGAAGACCAGACAATTGACTGAGTGGGGTCGGTCATAGGAAAGTCTAATGTTGTATCCCAGTAAGGTAATGGACAACCAATTGCAAATTCCATGCTGAAAACAAAAGATTATATTCCTATCTAAATTTTCAGTCAGAAATAAGAAAACAAATACTGTTTAAATTTAACTCTTTTGCAGAAATGTCCTTAAACGTAGCATTTCATACTTAGTTGTATTATTGTATTTTATTTACGAAGCAAACAAGCTTAAGCGGTTCAATTTTGCTAAAATTCATTTACTGTGGAATCAATATTATTCGTTTGGTAACACTTTTCGTGGATTTCGTGGGTATAGGTAAACCACGACTTTAAATGTTCAACGAATTACACATTTTCAATAAGTTTGTATGCAGACTTTGACAAATCCACGAAATCAAATATCCACGAAAATGCAAGTTTTTCTCAATCCACGAAAATTGGTACCCATGAAAATTAATGAATCGTTATGATTATGGTGTGTGTTGTTAAATCATTGCGCCTTGAATGTTGGGGGAATTTGACTTTGACGCTTTCTACGTATACGTTTTCACTGTCCATAACGTTGCCGTAATATATCTACACTAATACATCACATAACTATTATTAGAATGTAGGTGAGTGATGGAGGTAAATCCAGAAAAGCGCTTCGGACGCAGAAAATTTATAAATGGATGTTTTTATTTTCGATTTCTGAATAAACCGATTAAGGACCATGTGCTTATTATCCTTAGATTTCTACAAATATGACCATTCTTTGATATGTCATCATTTAGTGTTGTTCTACTTGAATGTACCTTGTTATGCTTCAATTACGTGGCCTTTCTTTTTTTATTATCCGAGCGCCACTGACGAGTCTTATGTAGACGACATACACGTCCGGTGTAATAAATTTTCAGCCTTATCTTTGAAAGTTTATCATACTTTTTTTCTCAGACATTTTACTCTGAATAGCTGTGTTTTCCATGTACAATTTAAGGTAGTTGCAGTTGATCTGACAGAATAATTTATCAAAAAAATATATTGTACAATACAAAACTGACTATATTCAATTTAATCAATTAACCAAGGTTAAAGTTAATGAATACACTACTGACACATAATTCCCAAATGAGGAAACAGTGCCCATCAATCAACATCCAAGGTATGAAAAGGGTTAAAAATCCCCGCTTGGATTTGACGGTTGATGACGTAATTTGTACTTCTTTATTCTAATCAATCGTTCTTCTGCATATCCTTATATCTATATCAAACATTTTTTTTAATGTATTTACCCATGTGAAGTTTTGTTACCGCATTTGCTGCAATTTATGATTAATTGTCCATCATTGACTTATGTTTTCTTTTTTATTATAATTATTCAAAGTTTATATTTCATGTTTTTATGAAATTTGTTTCGTTAAAGCTCCAGACAACCTTTTATTTTTTTCGTCATGACGATCACCAAAATTTCATTAAAAACAGCTTCACGATTAAGTACATGCGTTGAAAAAACCTTCTTATATGATCAGACAAAGGTAAACAATTATATGCTAAACTATCATACATGCGTAGAAAGGCTTTATGCCAGCTAAAAAATCCAGGTCCATCATGGGCCACTGGTATTGAAGCTCCAGTGTGTAAAGATGCGATGACGTCAAAAGTATTCATTGTATTGCTCACATCCTTCAATAAAATGTAACATTACTGCATTGGATACATTTTTATATTTGCTTCCATAGTCCATTAGCTACCATTAAAGTATAAGCAATAGATAGCCAAATTGCAGTAACTGATAAGATTTGGCGAAACAGTCACAGAAACATTTTAGGTATATTATTTAATCACAATAAATGTCAAATCAAGCTCTACACATTACCTAACAATTGATCCATACTGGACAAGACCTTACATTCTTATTCGCTTTATCTTACACAATTATATTTCAACAAATAATTAAAGTTTTGTTTTATTAACAACATATGAACATTTTAAATGGTCATTCGTCGTCGTCCTGGATATGCATGAAATACTTGCGACTTGACGTAAAACAGACAACAATCAATCGTTAAGATGTAGCTCTCTTGGTTTTGGTCTTTTGGTTTGACATGGTATTTTTGGTTCTTGGCTTTGTGGGCCAGAGAGTAAGCCCCGATTAATTGTTAAAGTTATCATTGTGACTGGTTTACTTTTTGGCGTTTGTTTTTCAAAAAAGGGTTAAAAAGTTTGGGGTTTTTTTTTCTCTTCAGTTTTGAAAACGCCATGCTTGTTCAGGTATAAGATATTAATTCTAATATGTTGCTAATATAGAGTTTCCTGCACGTTTTTTTCAACAACTGATTAAACGCATAGTCGAAAAAAATATTAACAAAATTTAGAGAGTCTGCGGTTTCCAGTTGACATCTTGTTTATACTTTCATGTTTGTCCGAGACTTCTCTGATATTCCGATAATAATTAAATCTATTCATCTGATTTGTTTATATTGGTTTGAATGTGAGAAGTGTGACATTAAAAGCGAACGGCGGCATATTGAAATGTGTTCGATAGGAATTTTGAGTGTTCGGGTGTCCTTCTTTTTTCTATCTAATGCATGCATGTTTGGTGTTAACTTTGGATGTTTGATGGAAATTTGGGTGTTCGATGATAGTTATTGGGTTTCTTTTGTTTTCTTGTGTTCGGTGGTAAATTTCTTATCATTGGCTCCCCAATCTTTTATAACAAGGATATTAAAGTCTTTTTAATATCTTTATAAAATATATAAAGCGTTTGGTGGTATTGTTTAGGCGTTTGGTGGTGTTCAGTGGTAAAAAGAGGCATCAGCTAGACCATACATCAGGAAGGTTATTTCAAAAAACTGTTGTCATGGGAACGGAAATTGGTATCATGTCTTTTTATAACTTTAATTTTAATGATAAGTTTAGAGAGAAAAATGTTTAAAAAAAACTTAATCATATAGTCTTTCGAAATAATCAAAAATGATAAATCTTCAACTAAGAGGCGGAAGCTACCAAAGGGATAATCAAAAATAGTGTCGAATGAAATTAACAACGCCTTGAAAAAAGGAAAGACGACGAAAAGACAGAGAAGTTCACAAAAAACTATATAGTAAAATAAAGACTGAGCAACATCCCCCCCATCCCCAACCCCCACCACCAATTAAACTGGGTGTTGTGTCAGTTGCTTCTGAAGGGTAAGCAGATCCACTAGTGGCACAAGATGCATCGAAACAAAATCGTTACGAATCAAATGCTTTTGATTATCACTTATATGTAGTTTTACAGAAAATGATAAAAATACAATTTAATGTGTAGGTAAAAATATCGTTTTTAAAGGCATTTCGAAAGGAAAGTCGTCAAACAAAAATCTATTGAGTCGGAAAGAAACAATACTTTTATATATAAACACAAAGTAAGAAATCTAATTCACGGACAAATTACTGATTATTTAAAGGGTTAACATGTTCTTTCTTATAGTTTGAAATAATATATTTTTAAGAGTACGGGGTAAATTATTTGGGTTTGATTCGACATTTATGTAGTCTTACCGATATAACATGTTACTTTTATTATTCTACCCTTAGTTTATTTATTTTGTATTTACATTGTGTCATAGGTCAAATTTATTTGTTCAGTGTATGTTCAATGGTGTTAATATGTCCTTTGATTGAGTTAAGCTATTTCAGTTGATATTTTATAGTGTGTCTTTCTATGTTGTGATGTTACACTATTGTTTCAGGAAAAAGGGTGAAGGTTTGGTACCATTAAAACGTTTAAACCCGCTGCATTTGTTTGCACCTGTCCTAAGTCAGGAATCTGATGTTCAGTAGTTATCGTTTGTTGATGTGGTTCATAAGTGTTTCTCGTTTCTCGTTTTTTATATAGATTAGACCGTTGGTTTTCCCGTTTGAATGGTTTTACACTAGTAATTTTTTGGGGCCCTTTATAGCTTACTGTTCGGTGTGAGCCAAGGCTCCGTGTTGAAGACCGTACTGTGACCTATAATGGTTTACTTTTATAAATTTTGACTTGGATGGAGAGTTGTCTCATTGGCACTCATACCACATCTTCTTATATCTATTAACTTTTTTGGTTTTACCAGAAATGTTAAAGTCTTTTTCTCTTAAATGTGTACTGTTTGGGATTTGTAACATATGACATCATAAAAAATGAAAATTTAATAAATATAATGCGTCCGAAACGCTTTTCTGGATTAACCTTCATCAGAAACGCTCAAAGCCGAATATTTGAAGGCCAAGGATGCATAAGAACCGAAACAGTCAGATATAATTGGCAAAAAAGACCTTTAAATAGCCAAATCCATCTAAGGCCAACTTTGCATGAGGGAGTTGAAATCTTAGTTTCTTAATAATTTATAAACTTATAAATGGACAATTAAAGAATGGCTTGTTATAAATCATGTCAATACTGTCTATTGAGTTGATGATACCCTCGGGGACTGATACTTGACCAGCAGCGGTATAGACCCTCATACTCTACCTACATAACTATTCTTTAGCCGCCTGACTCCTCTTGAATAACATCCCCATACTTGATCATATGGCGGTTCTCTGATTTCTCGTCGCATTACGCTTCCAAATCTGAAAATACTTCTCTTCTGTCGAGATTTGACATTTTCTATCTCGGATATTATTCCTCTTGTAAGATGTTTAATATAATTAGTTATATTTGGATTTTTCATTTCGACAGCCATAGACTCCATCTGGTTTACTAACAAATCTTTACAAAAAGTTTGAACTTCCATTTGTGAAATATTTTTAGCCTCTGCTATGATGAATTCATATTCCATACATTCTACGAAGTTGCTAGGGATGCCGTTGCTAGGGACGCCATTTGGATCCATGATTTGCAAGGTCACACTCACAGAGCATATGCATATTACAAACGATGTCCAGACGGCCTTCATTTTGCAGTTGTCTAATAGATAGAATGTAAAAAAATATTTCTTGTTTTTATTCATGTGTTTAAGTAATCATACTCCTCAATGAAATCATATATAAAATCATATGCAGCAAAAAACGCCAAAAAAAAACCAAATACAACGAAATTAAAATTACTGAAATGAAAGAAACTAAACTTCAGTCGGTTCTAGTTAAAGTTTATTTTTATATATAATTTCAAGGATACAGTATAATTTTTGTCATATCCATAATATAATAAATTAACTTATATAAAACGATTTTATTTGATCTATTTACTAGGTAAAACAATTGTAATTGAAATAGCAGAAACAAAATGATTTCTACCATGAAAATTATTATCACCAATAAGTGAAATTAGGCATTAAGCTTAAATCCTAGGCAATAAGCTAACGCCTAGGCATTAAGTTATTGCCTGAAAATTACAAGCATTAAGCTTATTTCCTGAATTCTGATGATGATTATTCAACCTATTGTCAAACATCATTTCAGGCAATAAGATAATTTTAGGATTTTTGTTTATCGTCCAAATACATTTTAATTAGGTGAAATATTCTTCATTAATAATATTTTAAAAATGATATTCCAGAAACTAATATAAACTGATTTAAAACATCTTTTAATTTCTAGTATTTTTCGTATTCAAAACAGAACTTTCTCGTATTTCTTTGTATTAAATGCTCTTCAATGGTCGAGCCGCTTTGAGATGGTCAAAAATATAAAATTTTGACAGTCACATCATCTTTTCATCCGATTTGGTGAATATGCAAATTTTTCTTAGATACCCATTGTCTTTTCACTTCTTAATCTGGGATTATACGCATTTTAGCAACAAATTTCTTGACTCTTTGCGGAGTACCAGGGAAAACAAAGATTATTTACCCAAGGCAAAAGTATAATGATCATTTGGCAAAGTTTAAACTTTCAAAAGCAGAAAATAAGGCGACTTTAGACTATTACAATTTAAAATGGTATAACATTTTTTTACCATTGGATGTTTGAAAGACTGGTAACTAAGGTATAGAGAATATTGAGGGTAATTTCTAAGTTTATGTTTTTTTAGAGGAACTGTATGGTATTTTGGGAAAAACACACGAAGAAGTGTCAAAGCAGACTATTATCATTATAGAACGTAGAATTAAACAACCTAATAATGGCTTTTCAAGCATTTTCCTTGATTCCATTGTACTGTTTCTACCATTTTGTAAAAATTGATAAAATGTGCATAGAGAAGGAAGTAGCATTAAAACCAGTTTTATCCAAAGAGTGTTACAGAAGAGGACAGGTTGATTTAATCGATTTCCGATCAAAGTAAGATAGAAACTATTTTTTTATTATGGTGTACCAAGATCACCTAAAAAAATACTCTTACGTCAAATAGTACTTCAAAGGTGGTTTCTAATTTAGTTTTATGTTTTCACAATATTTGGTGTGTCACATAAACAGCAAAGGGACAAAGGTCGTGAATTTACAGCTAAGGTTATATCTGAATTAATGCTAATGTGGTCAGGACTAGTTGTTGTTCTAGTTGTTGTTCACGGGAAGCCAACACATCACCAATCACATGGTAGTATTGAGTGGTCAAACGGAAATATTCATGACATGCTTACTGCATGGACGAGGAACAACGAACTAACAGTGGTCAACTGGAATCAAATTCGTTCATATACAAAGGAATTCTGCTCTATATAAAGATATGGTACAAATGCGAATAAAAATATGCAGTAGCTCCGCACCAATTGGTAACAAACAAATTACAATACAATTATCTATCAATATAAAAAATAAGGAGAATCAGATGGAGCACAATTGCTAATGAGATAACTATCCAAAACGTTTACATATATTTTAAGAGTTTTATTCAATGAGTTTTAACATCAATATTTTATTTATGATTTTATTTCATGTAATTGACATTCAAACTTCAGTTCTTATTATTTTATTTTGTACAAAATGTATTTTAACTTTATAAATAAATTTCTTTTTATTTACTCTCATTTTCATTTTAGACATTAACATTAATGCCTGGACATAATTTTCAGGATTTAAATTAAAAAATCCTAGGATTTAAGAGTAATGCCTCACATTAATTGGGCAGTAGGCTTACTGCATTGGCGTTAGCTTATTGCCTAGGATTTAAGCTTCATGCCTAGTTTCACTTATCGCCGCTAATATATATATGTTTAAAAATAACTTAACCTATGTAAATTTACCCTTTTAAGAAAATGAAGCTCCCTGTTCTGCTGGATATTGTAGTAATAATACGAATCACGGTTTGTTTTCCAAGCATGCGCTGAGATCAAAGCATTCTAATTACCAAGTGAAATTAATTGTATAGCAATTCTTCTTTTTTTGTAAATCACTTAATTGTTTAACGAGTTAATGCCTCATGAATTCATGTTTTTTGTTTATCACTTAGTTGTCTAACGAGTTAATGCCTTTTGAATGAATGTTCATGAATATATGTAAGTGACGGAATTTTAACTGATTTATTTAAAACGTACTTTTAATGTCCCAGTTAACATATAAAAATGTAACAATATTTTACGCCATAGGTGACATGACAAAAATATATTGTAGATCAAATTTTCGTGACTTAAGAGAACTAAGAATTAAAAAAGAATAATAGAAGATTCAAATGAAATGGTTACATGTATATGTATAAATTAATTGTTTGCAAAAACTTGAATTGTGAATAGTTAATGCTCTTCAACTTCGTAGTTTATTTGGCTTTCTAACTTATTTGATTCTAGTCGACTAATGAGTTTTTTGTTGAAAAAACGCACGTATCGCGTACAGAAATGTAAGTCTGGTATATTTTATGAGTTCTATATAATATATTATATGTAGGACTCGTAGGTGCGATGGAGACGCTGAAGTGCAGTGGTCACGCTGAGTTGCGATGGTCTGCGTCGAAGTGCGATGGTTCGTTCGCTGATGTGCGATGGTCTATATATAATATATATAATATAGTATATGACGCGTGATGGCTAGTTTAAAATCTACTTATGTGCAATAATTGTGAAAAGTATATTTTTTTAATAGCTAGTTTATAAATTTGAATTCGTTATTATCTATGTATGTCCTAAGTTACTATTTTTTTGTTGTTGTTTTTTTTTTTTTTTTTTATTTTTTGGTGTCGTGGACACACACAAAAAAAATAAAAATCCAAATGATGAAAAGGAAATATGAAATGACAAATATAAACACACAGGAGACAGATTATTCGGTCTACAATTACATACGAAATGAGAGATCGTCCTCTTTGATTTTCTGCATGGGGTATAATTCTGCGTTAACATTTTATCTTAGATTGGTTCATTTCATGAGTTACTCGTTCACCGTGATATTATTATACTGAGAGTCTGTCTGCGGACCCGTGTGTATGTAGAGAAAGCCATGCTCTATCGTACGTCAAAAAAAAATATCCGACAGAAGGTTAACTTCCCCCCTCTTCACCAATTGCTCCCCGTTTCCCGTAGTATTAAAAGTTTATAAGCCCCTTATTAACTGAAAAACCACAGAAACTGCTTATAACAAACAAATGGACTTCTACCTCGACATGCAAAGCATTGAAAATATTGTTTAATATGTAGTCCATCGCACTTCAGCGTTACCACCATTGCACTTCGGCGTAGATATCAACACGATAGCACAATACCACCATCGCAATTCAGCGTGATCAAAAACGTACGTTAGCGTCAAACCATCGCACATCAGCGTGACCATATCGCGGTTCGGAGTAACATCGCGGTTCAGAGTCCTCAAATATATTCTACCACCGGGCGCATGACATTTACGCCAATTTTGAAAAAAAAAAAAAAAATTCCTTTGCGCCAAACAGAGATATCGTTTGCGCCAAGAATTAATTTTCCATTTGCGCTATTTTAACTTGAAGAGGCAAGTTTCAAGGTATTATGTAGCCTTGTCACCTATTTTTTTATTTTTCGTATTTCATTAAATGTATTGTCATAACGAGTTTTGTAATTTCTCTATCATCCCTTACAAAATATTTGAACCACCACACAAACTGTTCTAAATTGGAGACTCCTGAAATTTACTCCCAATTAATTTTTAGTCCTGAAATAGTCAAATACGGGATGCAACTCTTGAAATTCATCTTATTATAGACGCAGGAAAAACATCGGTTTCAAAGAATAAAACTGTCGCACGGAAACGCACAAAAAGAAAAAACTAAAGAAAGTTTCTATGTTTTCGATAAACATTTATGCTATGTTAAAGCAAGTTACCGTGTGTGTAAAAAAAACAAGATATTTTTTAAGGTCTTAAACAAGCGGGAAAGATTTGTATTAACAATAAGTATGATTTTCTACTGAGAAGTTTTGGGTAGAGTAAACTCGCGTCTAGTGTAGCAAACTATGAGCCTGGTATATTTAGTGAGATTCGACACGATATAACTCGTATTCTTAACAAACTAATCGGTATAGTTCTACAAGGTTTGACAAAATATAACACCAGGAGGAAGCTGATGAATCGCTAATCAACCTTTGAATTAATAACAGTACCTTCCCTCTCTTTTTCCTTCTATTTTCTATACTTTTGTTGTAGTACACAAAAACATTTTTGACATTATAAAAATCTTGTATATCACTTCGTGTTGTTTTCAAAAATATAGTAAACAGTATAGGTCATCTTGCTATTTTCAAGTTGGCGGATGTAAAAAAATCTCATATTTTGTCAGGATTGTATATGAAAATTATGAAACTAGAACGAAAACAGAAGGATAAAACATTTTACAAAATCTACCAGAAAATACGAAGGGGTAATATCCCTTTATAAAGTTTTTGAATCAATATCAATTGATTGATTGGTGTTTGTCACCAATTTCAGCACTATTATTTATTGGAGGAAGCCGGAGTGCCCGGAAAGAACCACCGACCTGCGGTAGGAAAACTGACAATCCTTGTCAATTAAGATTGGAGTCGAGCGAATCTGCCTCGTGCGTTTAAAGGCTAGTGGTACAGTAGTTTGACTTCTTAGACCACTCAACCCTCCGGGGTCCCTTAAATCAATAAGAACAATCTCTATTTATTTTATGAATAAAACGTTACTACAGTTACTAAAAATCAAATGAATTGGTGGATTTTCAACCAAATTTGTTAAGATCTGAAAATAAACAGTTGTGGTCAAGATAGCGAAGGACTCCAATACAAACTAAAACATAAGTTTAAGTATCAAAAGTACTTTTAAAATGCTCTGTTATATAAAACGCAATTTACTTGAATAGATGTACTTTTGAAATGAATAAATACTTGAAAATAATAGAGTGATTGACAAAAACGATTAATTGACATTGTAATTAGTTTTGATTATAGACTCTTTGTTCTCGTTCTCTAAACGTACAACTGTTACAATTATTGCTACCTTTTCCATCAAAATAAGCTTTAGGGTAGCATTTTGTTAGGTTCAACTCTGATGCTTTACTCATTGTTATACTGCAACGATCGACAAAAAAAATTCTTCAAAAGTAAGAAAATACCGAGGCCCAGGGTGCACAATACTTTAAAAGGAGAAACAAATAGTTTTCAAAACGCTGCGCAGAATGTAAATAATTTCGGTTGGTGGGGTAATCTGCGTTTTTGCCTTAGTTGATTTTATTTGCTAAACCCCTGAAGGTACATGTATAAAATTCAAATTTCAATTATCTGTTTTTATAGACCATGTATATTTGCACCAATATTTTGCAGTTGTTTTCATTAACATAAACAATTAAATTCTCCTTAATTTTCATATCAACTTTAATATTAAAAAAACCAACTAAGAATCAATATGTTATTGCTAAAAAAAAATCCTAATAGTACAACAGACCACATCACCTACCAATACAGACACTAAAACACAGACAAACAACAACAACACATGGTCTATGCAAAACCTCCTGGAGGTCTTGAAAGATCTTGAAAACGAACTATGGTGCTTCTGTGTACATATATATCGAATATCAATCCACCCCACCTTTTGTTATCTTGATCATTGATAACAATATACTAATAATAGCCTCTCTGGAAAGATCTGTTAAAACTAAAAACTAATATACTTGTAGTTTATGAATAATATCATTATACAAGGTGTTAAAAACGATTTGTATGGACCGGTTTACCCATATCATTTTATAAAGATATAGAACAATACGGTATGATATATTATCATATGTTTGCCTTTCTTTTAACTGAGACGTTTACGATATATCAAATTAATTTACACCATTAGGTCGTTGCATGACAGATTTTTAGATTAATCTGTACACTAGGTTACGGGGAAAGGTTTTTGATGGATGAAGACAAGGAAATATTACTGTGAAATAAATATTGATCATCCTTGTGTTAATTAAGCAGACTAAGACAAGGGAATGTTACTCTGACCTAAACATTGATCATGCTTGTGTTAATTAAGCAGACTAAGACAAGGGAATGTTACTCTGGCCTCAACTTTTGTTAATTAAGCAGACTAATATGGCAAGCCGTTCGCGTCAAAACTATGTTTAAACCATTTTTTCGAAAAAATTACACACTGAGAATTCAAAAAATCACACTGAGATTTAAGAACCTAAAATAACACACTGAGAAATCGAAATTACACACTGAGATTTTAAAATTACACACTGAGATTTAAAAAAATGAAAACCACGCACTGAGAATTTAAAATTACACACTGAGATTTTAAAAAGACACACTGAGATGAAATGAATTGAAAAGCACACACTGAGAATTGTTAATTACACAATGAGATTTCAAAAGTACACACTGAGATTAATAGGCAAATTACTAATGAATATTCATGAGATGAATAATTCAACAGACTAATATCTTGGTCTCCCGCACTCTTGTCATTATAATGAAATGCGGTTCCTACAACCAACATTCGTAATAAATTTCAAGACTTAACAACTTTTTTTGCTAACTTATATTCATAAGTTTGTTGCCTATAATTCAGATTATTACTAACAGTATATCGGGAATTTTTGCTTAAAACTGTTTAAGTATGGTCCCTTTTCAAAAGTCTTTCAACTGCTACGGCCTGATTTTGCAAGGTAATCTTCTATATTTTTGTTACGTTTATATGCTATAATAGGCACTTGGGACAAAAATTCACTGCATTGTTTGTTTTTTTGCAGATTGTTCCAATGTGTTCTTATAATTTTAATATAAAGTTTTTCACCATTTGGTTATATTTTGTAATGAGAGTAAGTGGGTATTTTTCTTGTTCTATGGGTCTTTAATAACGTAGTTTTTCTATACGTTGTATT